AGTCAGTTACCTTGAGATGTACTTATCAAAATATTAAAAATATAAGTTTGTAATATAGTGATTTATGTGTCCATTTATAATGTATTCAACAACAAGATCTTGTGGAAGGTCCAATGACTATTGTACTTCTATAGTGGTGAGCATAAGATATATCCAGATATCTGCAATAATTATATGGTGATATGAAAATATCATAGACAGTCTGTGGTTTGTTGCCTTCATCCCATGGAAAAAAATGGTAAATTTTATTTATTTTTATTTATTTTTTTGAGGTGGAGTTTCACTCTTGGCGCCCAGGCGGGGGTGAAATAGTGTGATCTTGGCTCACTGCAACCTCTGCCTCCTGGGTTCAGGCGATTCTCCTGTCTCAACCTCCCCAGTAGCTGGGACTACAGGCACCCACCACCATGCCTGGCTAATTTTTGTATTTTTAGTAGAGATGTAGTTTCACCATGTTGGCCACACTGGTCTTGAACTCCTGACCTCAGGTGATCCACCCGCCTCAGCCTCTCAAAGTGCTGGGATTACAGGCGTGAGCCACCACACCCAGCTGAAAGTGGTATAAATTTAGTTAGAGGTTAGTGAAATACAAATGTAATGTTTCCCTGTCCATGTTCATAAGCTAGAGTTCTGTCCATGGCCCTCTGGGAAGGGAGTGTTACATGAAGGGGAGCCAGGTGAATGAAATCTTAAGTCTGAGAGGAGAGGGGCTCACCACAGTCCTAACCAGCTGCTTCTTTGGGACCTTATTAATATATGAAAAGATCTCATAGTCTGTTAACGGAGTCACAGGATCACAGGCTCCAGAACTGGAAGGGCTAGAACCCTGCTACAGTTTCAGTGTATGTTCCTCTAAAATTCATATGTTAAAACTTAAACCCCAATTAGCTGAGCATGGTGGTGGGGGCCTGTAATCCCATCTACTCAGGAGGTGGAGGCAGGAGAATCACTTGAACCTAGGAGGGGGAGGTTGCAGTGAGCTGAGATTACGCCATTGCACTTCAGCCTGGGCAAGGAGAGCAAAAACTCCATCTCAAAGAGAACCAAAACAAAACACAAAAATAACCCTTAAACCCCAAGGGTTTATTAAAAGCTGGGACCTCTTGGAAAGGGGTTAAGTCAGGAGGGCTTCACCCCTGTGAATGGATTAGTGTTCTCAAAAACGGGGTTGAAGGGAGTGTCCTGGTCCCTTTCACCCTTCCATCCCTCCCACCGTGTGAGGGCACAGTAAGATGTGTCATCTTGGAAGCAGAGGGCAGCTCTCACCAGATGCCAAGCCTACTGGTGCCTTGATCTGGGACTTCCCATTCTTCAGAACTGTCAAAAAGTAAATTTCTGTTCTTTATAAATTACCCAGTCTAGGATATTTTGTTAAAGTGGTACAAAGAGACTAAGACAAACCCCTTTTGCAGACACCTCATTGGCTGACCTGGTCCATGGCCTCTGCTCTTACTTGTCTAGGGGTGGAGAGCTCACCCTCCAGCTCATCCTCATTGCAGGCTGAACAGCTCCAACTGTCAGAGGAATGGTGGCCATGTCTTCTCCTTCACATACAGAGATGAATCAGACACAGTCCGTGCCCCACAGCTAGAGAGTGGAGAGAGACAAGGACTCAACTACAGATCAGATGTTTTATTCATTGAACAACCTTTCTCTGAGCTTCTGCTCTTTGTCAGGCCGGTGGTAGGCACTGCATATACTGATATTTAATTTCATAAAATGTGTGTCCAGTGTGTACTCAGGCACTGTGCTCAGTACTGGGTGGTAAGGGAGAGATAGACATGATACCTTCCGTCCATGGAGACAATTAATAAATGAGTAAGCATACAAATCAGTGTGTAATTGCAACTCGTGATCATGGTTGTGAGGAGATGAGCAAAGGAGACTCGTAGAAGGGAGTGACTTCAGATGGAAGAGAATGGAAGTGAAGAAGTGTTCTTGGAGAAAGGGATGTAAAGGAAGATCAGCTTGCTGGGCAAATAGGAGTGGAAGAGGGTTCCAGGCAGAGAAAAGAGCAAGCGGAGAGGAGTTTCTGATGTCGGAAAGAGCTTGGCTTTTGTTAGGAAGTGACAGGAGGCTCCAGGGCCAGACCCGGCTGGAGAGGTGGGTAAGGGAAGATTGCCTGGGCCCTCAAACCCATGCAAAGAAGTTTGCATATTATTTTAAGGGCCGATGAATGCCATAAAAGGGCTTAAGCAAGATATGTTTGAAAGAATAAAACAAGGTCTCCAGGAGCTCTCCAGCTTACAGCAATGATATTAACAAGATGAAGTATTATAAGAATGAGTAAAGAGCTGGGCACGGTGGCTCACGCCTGTTATCCTAGCACTTTGTGAGACCGAGGTGGGTGGATCACCTGAGGTCAGGAGTTTGAGGCCACCCTGGCCAACATAGTGAAACCTCGTCTCTACTAAAATACAAAAATTAGCTTGGTGTGGTGGCGGGTGCCTGTGATCCCAGCTACTCAGGAGGCTGAGGCAGGAGAATCGCTTGAACCCAGGAGGCGGAGGTTGCAGTGAGCCAAGATTGAACCACTGCACTCCAGCCTGGGTGACAGAGAGAGACACCGTCAAAAAATAAAATAAAATAAAATAAATAAAAAAATAAAAAATAGTAAAGAAAGCTTTTATATTTGTGTTCTAAACACGCTTCTTGAATGTTCTCTGTACTTTTTCTCAGGCTAAGCTCTTTGCCTGGATTCCTCTCCCCAGGCTGTCTGCCCAGTACAACACTCTGGCTAACTTTGCCAGCATCACCTCCTCCAGGATGCCTTCCTTAACAATGTAGTCCACCAATGTAGTCCACCAACGTAGTCCACCGTCAGAGCCCTGAGCACGCCCTGTATGCTGTTCCCAGACTATTTACATGTCACTGTGCACCGTCCCTTTCTTCAGACCACCCCTGGAGGCGGGCAAAAGTCGGGGCTGGAGGGAGGGGAGGTTGCAGAATCTTCAGCAGCAAACTGGCTCCCTGCACGCCTCAGTCTGGGATTGCAACTAGACACTGCCACCTACTGGCAGTGAGTGGAATGGCTGACAAGATGGGGTTGGGAGGAAGGGGACTCCTGGAAACGGTCCAGGCCCACTTTGGCTTTTCTGAAGGGCAATCGCATAAGGTCTAGCTGGATGAAGGGCTTGTCTAAGGGGCCTGATGGTTCTGGGTGACAGCTGGGCTGGAACAGGAAGGAGGAACTGAACGTTGATGGACACACGGTGCAGCCCTGTGGGACTGCTGAGACCTTAGTCTAGTCCCTGGGCCCAAGCCAGACCAGTAGGGGGGCCCACCTTGTTACCATGGAGATCAGGGCTGTGTTCATACAGCTGGGGAGATGAGCCTCCACCCGTGTGAAGACCTCCAGGGAGGAGGGGCCAGCCTCAAAGCCAAGTGTCCACCCATGCCCCCTCTTTTCTGGAACAACTTGTTTTGCTCCAAAGCTTGGGACTTTGACCCAGGAGGTATGTTTTCCTCCTGTTGGTCACCTGATGTCCTTCCTGCTCATCCCCTTCCCCCACCACTGCCGAAGCACAGCCCAGGGGATCCTTTCCTTTCCCTGGGTTTTTCAGGGAAGTGGAGGATACCGGGGTGAGGAGGGCAGAACCTGGGACTCGAGTGCTGATGGCACTGGTTGGAGGGAGTGGCACAGCTGTGACCCCCACCCTCCTTTTCTTAAGTCTCTCCTTGCTAGGCTCCTGGGACACCCCACTTTTCTGGGGTTGCTTCCTCCTGTTTCCTCCTGTCCCTTCTTCCTTTGAAAGACCTTTACGTGTTGGGGCCGTGTCTCTTTCTTTCTATGCTCTCCTCTTGACACCCCTACCCCCACTACACACAATGGGGAGACCATGAGCTCCCAGGCCTCAGTTACCATCCATGTGCCGCAGACGGCTCCCAGATGCCCCACTCCAGACCCAGGGATTCTGCAGCCTTCCAGACGTCTCCCTCTGGAAAGTCCACAGGCACTGCAAGCGTAATACCTCAAAATCTATAGCTCGTCAATCCTCCCATCCCCCAAACCTGCTCTGGCCCCTACTGAGGCACCAGCATCTACCCAGCTGCCTACGCCAGAAACCTGGGAGTCACCTGCACCCCCGCCTCCCGCCTGTACCCACTCCCAGTTCAGCACTGTGTCCCAGCAGCCGCCCCCTGGCTTCTCTACCTCCTCAACAGGGCTCAGATCGGTTCCCACAGCCACTCCCTGCCCAGGTCCAGGCACTGGTGTTGTGGCCACTATAGCAGATCCCCGGACTCCTCTTCTCCAGCCTTTGCATGCCCCTTTCCCTCTCCACACTACATGGAGAGGTGTTTTCCCAAACGCAAAACTGACCACGTGACTCCCCTCCTTAAAATTCTTGGAGAAGTCACCAGTAGATGTTTGCTAAATTCAGCCCCATTCCTTACGTTCCAATCAGTGACTCTCTGGCTGTTCATTAACATGCACAGTGCTTACTCCAGTCTGTGCTAGAAGATTCTGAGGGCACCAAGTTGGGGGTGGGAGGGAGGACAGGATATACATATTTGGGAGGCATCACTCAACTCCAAGCAAAGTTCCCCCAGATCACCTTGAGATACTCCGTCTTTGGATGGCAATGGGCCCAACTGCACACGCATGTGAACACACATTCCCCACCACACACACCCCACACACACACCCCCCACACACACAGGAAGCAGGCCCGAGGCACGATGTCTGAGTGCTCCCGCTGAAACATGAAGGCAGAATCATCCTGCCATGGGAAGGGCTGCCAAGGAGGCCTGATGAATAGGAGTTTGGTGGCTTCAGGAAAGACAGGCTGTGGAGGGGCCTTCAATTCAGGTGCTGGCTCCTAGGGACCTTCCATCTCTGATGAGATTTTGTTCCAGTCGGCCCGCTCGTTTCTAGGCAGTCAGCATCTCAGCTTCCCATACTTCTGGGGTGGGGCTGGGGCAAGGAGACCAGCATGACCCTTGGTCAGGGGTCTGCACAGGAACTCTGGCCACTCTCAGTCCCTGAGTTGGAGGGCCAGGTGGATACCACATGATCCTGGGGAGACTTTTGCCTTTTTGGAGGGCTCTGGCTCCAGGGCCTCCCTGTTCCAGGGGCTAGGTGTGCCTCCCTCAATGCTGCTTTTGGCTACGAGGGTGGTGGGCCCAGGGCTTCTGGGCCCCAGATCGCACCTTGCCACCTGGGGTGTCTGTCCTTTGTCCCCCACAGCAGGCTGTGTTTGCCCATTTTGTCCTCTGCCATGGGTGGAGATGGATCTGAAGTTGGGCGTTGAAACCTCTGACCAAGCCGGTATCTTGTTTTGAGGCCCTGCCCGGTTTCCAGGGACCACATCTGGGGCCAAGAGGAAGAACCGAACTGGGCCTAGGTCAGCTGGGCTGGGTCAGGGCTTTGGCATGGGCTGTGAAAGCTGGGGACTGGGACCTTCAGGTTCTCTTTGGAGATCTTTGCAGGAAGGGTGGATTTAGGAAGCTACTGGGCTGGGCCAGGGCGTGGAAGGCACTGAAGCCGTGGTGTGTCCCAGCATTAGAGTCCCAGGGTTTGGCTTGGTGGGGAAGGGGCAGGTGAGGGGGAGAACAGGAAATAGGCTAGGCTCTCAGGGGAGTCTGGCAGCTTTGAGCCTTCTCTGGGCTTCTGGGGTTTTCCCCAAGCTCCTGAGCCAGCCAGCACATTTCTTAATCCCACTGTCAGCCTTCCAAGAAGCCCCGCCCACTGGGCTCAGTCAAGGCAGGAGCGACTATGGTCACCCCTTTCCCTAGAATCCAGCCCCACTGCCAGGAAAAGGGAGCTCAGGGCATGGAGGTGAGGCTGGGGCTCTCCCACATCTGCTTGGTCCTCATACCCATCTCCTTAGCTGGCCCCGGTAAGATGACCTCGAATGCCAGCACAATTGAGCTGGGCACTGGCCAGGGGAGGCCAGGCCTGGCAGCTCATTACCATGGGAGGGAGGGCAGGTTCTCTCCAACGCCCCGTCTTCATTTCTCCTCCCTCCCTCGCCTTCCTCCTTCCTAGCTCCTCTCCTCCAGGGCCAGACTGAGCCCAGGTTGATTTCAGGCGGACACCAACAGACGCCACAGCAGCTCCAGGAGCCCAGACACCGGCGGCCAGAAGCAAGGCTACGAGCTGCTGCAGCCATGTTGGCCCTCAGCCTGCTCATTCTGGGCCTGCTCACGGCAGTGCCACCTGCCAGCTGTCAGCAAGGTAGCTCAGGAGGAGAGGGTTGGGCACCGGAGCCCGAGGGGCGGATGGGTGGTGTTCTGGCTCTCCTCCCCAGGGCCTTGATACTTAGAGTTTAGAGGGGGAGCAGGGACTGGGCTAGCTGAAAGAATGTCCCAAGGCAGAGACCTCTGAACCAAGTCTCTGCCTGTCACTTGTTTTCAACGAGTGAAAAGTGGCAGCAGCAGGGAAATGTTGGTTCTAGGATCTTGGGGAGGAGCAGGGCAGGAGCAGGCATTGCCCAAGGGGTGGCTGGGTCCTGAGTACAGGGGGCCCGGGGATACAAGGCGGGTGAGAATGGGGCCCAAGCTACCCCTCAAAGGCTTGGGCTTTGTCTCAGCCTCTTGGGCTTGGGTAGAGAACGGTGTCCAGTGTGACTCCCCCAAATATCTGAGCTCTTCGTCCTGCTCTGCCTGAATTGATGTGTGACCTTGAGCAAATCACTGCCCCTTTCTGAGACCCAGTTTTCTCACCCATAAAATGAGAACAATAAGCCCCACCCTGCCCACCTCCTGGGGCTGCTGCCAGGTCAGGGGTGTAGAAGGGCTTTGCACCTGGTGAAGCAACACAGCCAAGGTCTGGCTTTCATTCTACACTGTCAGGCTGCACCTGCAGCCAGAGTCTGGGGACTCTGCAGGTGGGACTTGGTCCAGAGGGGACTGGCAAAGATGCTTCCAGAGCTCCCCTCCCACCCCCACCCCAAGCTCTCATGTGTGTCTGCTTCAACTCTGTCTCCCGGGTCTTGGAAGCCCTCTGGGGAACTGCAGACCAGAGAGGTTGAGTCACACAGCAGGGCAAGAAAGGACAGGGCTCAGACCACCTTTCTCCTGCCCCAGGCACTGCCCTTTGCTGTATGTGCTAACCCCACATGGGAGGAGGAGCAGGGACTGTGGTCCCTGGGGTGACTGGAGGGAATTGGCTGTGGGGTCTAGGAGGAAACAGGGAGGGGCCTCCAAGGGTTGAGCCCTAACTCCCCATGCTTGAGCAACCGCTGACCTGAGGGAGCAGTCTGAGCCCCTAGGGAAGCAATGACTCCAAACACTGCTTTTGGCAGGTGTGGAACCGAGGATAATCACACTGTGTGTCTTCTGCTTCCCCTGGAGATAAGTGAGGTCTGACTTCACTACAGGCCAGAGAGTGCCTAGCCTCCTTCCTCCTTCCCAATATTTGCCAGGCTCGGAGAAGAGGTCAGGCCTCCACTGCAGCAGGACAGCTTTTGGTAGACTCAAAGGAGGACATTTGAGCAGGAGTGAGCCAGAGGAAGGTTTTCTGATGTCCAGCCTGGGTCCCTCAAAATACAGGGATGCAGGTATTCTGGCCTGGAGGCAGGACCCCTCCGAAGCCTCCCGCTGACCTGTGTTTTGTCCTGGGACCTCTCCCTGCTGACGGTCTTTTCTCTGCAGGGCTGAGCTCCTGCAGGCTCATGGAGTGCAGTGATGCTGGGGAGGAGGAAAGTCCTTTGGGGAAGCAGGGGCCTGAAGGCAGGGACTTCAGGGAAATCTTGAGGGACTGTGTTGGTGTCAAGGGTCAAAAAGCAGAGAAGGGACCTGGTGCTCTTGCCTGTAATCCCAGCACTTTGGAAGGCCAAGGCCGGATCGCCTGAGCCCAGGAGTTTGAGACCAGCCTGGGCAAAATAGTAAGACCCTGTCTCTATTAAAAAATAAAAAAAATAGAGAAGGGTGCATGGTTGGGGCCTCAACTTAATCTCTGACCCTAGTCCCTGGGCACCCAGCTGGAGGAACCAAAAGCAGCTCAGGTTTTGAGGCTTCTTTCCTGGTCCCCAAGACCCAGAGAAGAGCTCACCCCTCCGTTCTGCCCCTCTAAAGATGTCCTGGTCCACTCCTCTCTCTGGGTACCCCAGGCACCGCAGATCTCCCCAGCTGAGCAGCCCTGAGAGTCTCCCAGTCTCATACACTTCTTACCATCAGAGAAATCTCTCGCTACAGAACAGGATCTTCTAGATCCCAGACCAGTCTTGTCAGCTCTGGGTCCTCCTCAGCCTTCTGGGAGCCACTCCCAGCTGCAAGGCCTAGGTTGGCTGTCCAGGGGGCTGCCCTTTGGTCCCTGGGGCCCAGGTACTCCCTGAGCCCTGCATGTGACCCCCCTTGGGGAGGGAAAGAGGCTCTGGGATGCCTAGATCTCAGATACAGCACTCTGAGGCTCTTCCCTCCTTGGCTTCTCACTCCTTCCAACTCCTCTCTCTCTGAGCCTCTGTCGTTCCTCCAACTCCCTCCTTTTCCTAAGCTCAGTGGAGCTTAAGATGCTTGAGTGGGTCAGATGGGCCGTATCCCACCCCTGCCTCTCCAGAATGTCTCCTTCGTCCTGGCAGCTGGCTGAGGGCCTTCAGCACAGGTGGGGCCCTTGGGGAGTGAGGCCCCTCGCTCTCCTGCACATGCAGCCCCACTGTGGCCCCGTCTGCTACAGTCCCTCTCCCTTTTTTAGGCCTGGGAAACCTTCAGCCCTGGATGCAGGGCCTCATCGCGGTGGCCGTGTTCCTGGTCCTCGTGGCAATCGCCTTTGCAGTCAACCACTTCTGGTGCCAGGAGGAACCGTGAGTGCTGCCCAAGGGCCCCTGAGCAGGCAGGGTGGGCCCAGGACCACTGCTCTTGCTCTAGTAGCAGTGAGAAGGCCCTCAGAAACCCTGTGTCCAAACCTTCCCGTGTGTGGAAGGGAAACTGAGGCTCAAGGTCCTAGGGTGGGTTGGTGACAGTCGGAATGAGAGCCTAGGCTTGCTGGCTCCCAGACCTGGGCTCTGTGGGCCCCACAGCTCTGGTGCCCGCTCCCTGTGAGCTTTGGAGAAACGGCTTCTCTTCTTGGAGTCTTTATGTTTCTGCAGAGCCAGGATAGCAGCCCAGCCTGTGATGGGGGCTGTAAGGACCTCTAGAAGGGGTAGTCCCTCCTGGTGGGTCAGCTGTGGTATGGAGAGGGCATGGGACAGACACACCTCCTGCCCTCATAGGCTCAGACTACAGTGAGCTGTCAGAAGTTCAAGAGTTGCTGCTGAGGGAGAGTGCAGAGGACACTGCAGGGCCGGACCCGGTCTGGGGTGGTCAGAGAAGGCTTCCTCCTTGCACGTTTATCCTGAAACTTGAAGAACGAGGAGGAGTCACTACCAGGATAGAGTGGCGTGGGAAGAGCACTGCGGTTGAGGGAAGGGTACATCCAGGTCCTGAGTTAGGGGTATGGCACCAGGGCTGCTGGGGACAGACACACACAGGTGAAGAGCGGGTGGGCTGAAATCCAACTCAGTCTGCACTCACTAGGTCAGGACCCTCAGGCAAGGCTGCCTCTGTCCCAAGGGCATTTCTTCCCAGATCTCACAAAGGTGGCCTGGTGGCTTGAATGCTAGCCCCATGCAGGGTTGCTGAGGAAACACCAGTGGCTCAGTGGGTGGAGAAAGGGATGGAGACACCTGAGATGAGGCTGGTGAGGTGGGTAGGCCAGGCCAACCAGGCTCTTGCACACGAATGACCTGAGCTTTGGGCTTTACCTAAGTGAGTAGGAATCCAGTGACAAGTTGTTTTTTTTTATTTTTTGTGTTTGTTTTTGGTTTTTTTTTGTAACTGGAGTTTTGCTCTTGTTGCCCAGGCTGGAGTGCAATGGCTTGAGGCTTGATTTCGGCTCACTGCAACCTCCGCCTCCTGGGTTCAAGTGGTTCTCCTGCCCCAGCCTCCTGAGCAGCTGGGATTACAGGCTCCTGACACCACTATCAGCTAATTTTCGTATTTTTAGTAGAGACGGGTTTCACCATGTTGGCCAGGCTGGTCTCCAACTCCTGACCTCGTGATCCGCCTGCCTCGGCTTCCCAAAGTGCTGGGATTACAGGCATAAGCCACCGTGCCCTGCCTCCGTGACAAGTTTTTAAGCCAGTTTCGGGATGAGACACGGCCTTAGCAGAATGACCCTGGCTGCCTCGTGGCATATGCATGGTGGCGGTGGGGCAGTCTCCAGTCTGCAGGCCTGGAGAGCGGTGAGGGGGCCGGCATGAGGTCAGGAGGGGGTCTGGACTGTAGCGGTGGCCAAGAGGATGAAGTGAAGAGCGCTGTCTAGGAGGTAGGCACCCTGGGAGTTGGTGGTCACAGGCAGCAGTGGACCCGACGGGAGGAAGGCAGGTATGGCATCGAGGTTTCTCATGAGGGATCACTCACCAAGGCCCAGAACACAGGAGGACGAGCAAATGTAGGGGCAACTGTTTAATTGGAGACGTATGAAGTCTGAGGTGCCTGTGGGATGTCTAAGGAAATGAGCAGGTGTTCGGTTCCCTGTGACCCTCGTGAGAGCAGCTTCTGGGAGGTTTCAGGGAGAGCCCACATTGCAGGGGGTTTAAACTTGAGTAAGAGGTGAGGAGCTTTTCATTGGATGCTCTTCAGATAGGCTTTCTCCACCTGCCCCAGCTCTGCCTGAAGGGCCACCAACCACATCTGTGCCCACTGCCCAAGGCACGACCGGAGGAAATTTGAGGCAGACACTGCATCCTGCAGGGCCTGCTGTGGAGGCTGAACTGAGGGCTTTGGACTCAGGATAAGTCTTTTGCAATTATTTGGCCCCCCACCATGGAGTGGGGAGAAAGTGTGAGACCCCATGGGTGGGGCCAGAAGCCGTGACTGACAGGCCCCGCTGCACACAGCTCTGGGAAGGGCAGTTGCTGGCCTTCGGCCTTGTGAGAACCAGGACCCAGAATAGGGTCTGCTTGGATGAGGAGGGCCCCACTGAGGAGCCCCACTGATGAGTCCCGTCCCCAGGGAGCCTGCGCACATGATCCTGACCGTCGGAAACAAGGCAGATGGAGTCCTGGTGGGAACGGATGGAAGGTACTCTTCAATGGCGGCCAGTTTCAGGTGAGGTGCAGTGCATGGCTGCCCTGTGTGTGCTCCCAGGGCCTAAGGAGAACCTGCTAGGGGGAGGTGGCTGGGGAGGACCGGGACTCATGTGGGCAAAAGCTAGTGAGGCAATGCGGGCTTTGTGAGAATCGCAGGGCTCTGTGGGGGAAACGCAGCCTCTGTGTGGGGCGAGGGCTCCGAAAGGGGACAGAGACTTGGGAGGGTAGGGTTCAGCGCAGGGGAGGGGACTCATAGGGCAGTGGGTACCATGGGCACAAGGGGTTCAATGGAGGAAGGGACAAATGAGTGAGGGACTCAGTGAGGGGAAAGCTCAGTAGATGATACAGCTCAGTGGGGGATGGGCTCACTGGGGGATGGACTCAGTGGGGGATGGACTCAGTGAGGGTTCAGTAGGGGATGGAGCTCAGTGGGGGATGGGTTCAGTGGGGGATGGACTCAGTGGGGGATGGACTAAGTGGGGGATGGACCCAGTAGGGGATGGGTTCAGTGGGGGATGGACTCAGTGGGGGATGGACTTAGTGAGGAATGGGTTCAGTAGGGGATGGAGCTCAGTGGGGGATGGTTTCAGTGAGGGATGGACTCAGTGGGGGATGGACTAAGTGGGGGATGGACTCAGTAGGGGATGGGTTCAGTGGGGGATGGAGCTTGGTGGAGGATGGAGCTTCAGATGGAGGATGGAGCTTGCTGGGAGATAGGTTTAGTGGGGATGGAACTCAGTGGGGGATGGAGCTCAGTGGGGGATGGGTTCAGTGGAGGATGGGTTCAGTGGGGGATGGGTTCAGTGGGGGATGGCCTCAGTGGGGGAAAGACTAAGTAGGGGATGGACTCAGTAGGGGATGAGTTTAGTGGGGGATGGATTCAGTGGGGGATGGGTTCAGTGGGGGGATGGGTTCAGTGGGGTATGGACTCAGTGGAGATGGGTTCAGTGGAGGATGGAGCTCAGAGGGGGATGGGTTTAGTGGGGAATGGAGCTTGGTGGAGGATGGAGCTTGTTGGGAGATAGGTTTACTGGGGGATGGGCTCAGTGGGGGATGGGCTCGGTGGGGGATGGACTCAGTGGGGGATGGGCTCGGTGGGGGATGGACTCAGTGGGGGATGGGCTCAGTGGGAGATGGGCTCAGTGTGAGATGGGCTCAGTGTGGGATGGAGCTCAGTGGGGGATGGACT